TACAATTTCTAGCCCAATGCTGGTGTCACAAGTGCTTTGGGATTTCACATAGTGACACCATTTTTACTAGAATTTTTATTCTGCTGTTTCTCATGCTTTTTGCTAATTGTGCCTCACTTCTCTTCTATCCCCAGTATTAGTTCTAAAATTTTTGTTTTGATCAACTGATCTTTAGATATAGAGATGTAAGTATTCATTCATCTTTTTTTTTTTCTTTTCTTTTTTACTTGGGTAAAGTTCACATTTAGTTTCATTATAACAAAGCAACTGGTACAGCTTTATTGTTTATAATTGAGCATTACATTTTCTTTCCAGTGAAACAAACAAAAACATTTAAATAAACAGGAACAATATTACAATAAAGAATGACGGTTACAAACAAAATTTTGCAGGTCTGCTCTTCTCCCATTGAGTGGCAGGGCCCAGGCCATTATTAGGAGAGAATTTTATTTTAAGAGTATCATCTTAAACTGCAAGGAAGTCCATTAAACATCACAATTAAACATACCAAAGGGGAAGCCTTGCTGTCAAAATACTAACTTAACTAACCCAAACATCTCATATCTACTCTTTGACCCCCTATAAACCCTGTTGTTGTTATTTAAAAAATGTTCCATACAAGAGGAAGTAGACAGGTGTATGTTGGTAGATACTAACTGTCCCCCTTCACAGAGACAGTGTAATCTGTGTGCTCAATGTACAGAGAAAGGAGGGAAAAAGCTAGAATTCTGTGCACTGATGAGGGGGATGAACCTCCAGCCTCCAGTGGAGCAATGTAAGCAGAAGGTTTTTCTTTCCCAGGGAGCACAGGGGCATTGATTCCATAAAGTGTTTTTGAGTCAGAAGGGATAAAAGTGAATTTGGATTTATATATATATATATATATATATATATATATATATATATACCTAACTAATGGACATAGCATCAGGGAGGTAAGGGGATGAGTGGAGCCATATGGGTGCAATGGGGGGATAAGGACACATATGTAATACCTTAATCAATAAAGAAAACTAAATAATAATCAATGAAAAAAATAAAAATACCTTTAAAATAAAAAAAGGTGAATTTGGAACAGAAAGTGTTAGAGATTCTTTTCCCACTGTATTCAGCTCAAGTTATTTCCCCCAAGTAAGTTGAGAACCAGGATGTAAGGGAGAGAAAAGACTTCAAGAGCACAATGACTGAGCCTATGAGTAAAACAAAACAAAACAAAACAAAACAAAACAAAACAAAACAAAACAAAACAAAACAAGAAAACCAGGTTGTAACTTGCTCCCCGTGACTGGAGGAAACTTTCAAAAAGAAGGTTGGAGTCCATCAGTGTTCCTTAGTCATCTTCTCCTTCATCCTTATCAACTTCTTCATTGGTAGCTTTCAATCCTCTCCCTCACCCCCCCGCCCCCCCCATCATCATCTTCTTCTCTTCTCCTTCCCCTTCTTCATCTTCCATATCAGGAAGCAAGTATATAGTAATGAATTGGATTTTGGCAAACATCATCTTGGAAGATCTCTCCACCTTATCTGCATCTGCATCATTCCTGCTGGCTTTATCCTGCAGTGCATTTGAACATTTCATCAAATCCTTTCCAGATATTTCAATGGACTTTGAAAATGCATCACAGCTTGCACTCAAATGAAATTCTTTGGGTGCACTTATTTTCTAGGGAAGGATTTTCATTGAAATGAAAAGCTGTTCTGTGACCTGATTTATTACTTTTCAATTCTATCACTACAACTCTGGTTAAATAACGCAGTGCCTTTCCATCCGTCTCCCCAAGCAGTGCAGGCATAGGAATGGTTGTAAGTGTTGTTCCTTAGAAATTTGGGATTTGGACCATCAAGTCCTACCTCTTCTGAAAAACAATGGTTGGTAGAATTGATTATATGTTGACTTTCAGAATCTTCTGATTGGCTTGTTCATTGAGTTGGTCTGTCTCATTTTTTGCTTTCTCAATATGTTTGGTTGCTTCCTGCTGTTTTTTTGTTTGTTTGTTTGTTTTTTCCTGTTGGCAGGTCCAAGAAGCCATTTGGATTTCTTTCTTCTTGTGGTGGGAATGGGGAACATTTGGGGGCCAGGCTATGGGGAGAATCCAAGAATCTGACCCAGGAGAAGATACACTACTCTGAGAATTCATAATTAAATCTTTTGAACTTATAGTTTAATGCATTCACAATGTTATGCACCTGTCGCCTCTATCTAATACTAACCCTCTTCAACAGCCAGTAAGAAACCCTGCATCATTAATCAGCCACTCCCCATGTTCTCTTTCTCCAGCCCCTGCGACACCTATTTACACTCTGTCTCTATGGATTTGTCTACTCTGAGTACTTCTTCCAAATTTAATGATACAGCATATGACCTTTTGTATCTTTTTAAAATTTTATTTATTTAGCATTTTTGTCTCTATTTTGATTATCTATACTAGAAAGAATTTTACTTTAGCTGTTGGTATTTAACATTCAGTGTACTGATGTTATAATATACTAGAGGTGCAGTGCATGGAATTGTTTGGGTAGGGTTCCTAGACCTAGTCTCCTGTGATCAGGACCATCTTCTGTCCATTCACCAGTCCCCAGGCTGAACACCGCCTCTGCCTCTGGTCTCTCAGGCCTTTGGGATCACCGCTGCCGCAGCTGGCACTGTTTCTGGGGCTTGAGGCGCTGACGGAAGCTTCAGGGTATGCCAGCGTCCTACCTGTTCCAGCGTGAGTGGCCCCAAATGGGCAGCATGTTCCATCAGCAGATAGCCCAGAAGATGAAGTAACTGACACCTGCTTTCCTACAGGCTTGAGCCCCCGAGCAACCAGGAATGAGCTTGTGATCCCAACAGCTTGACCGCCAGCCCGGTCCTCCCACCACCCACTCCGATTCCCCCATTCGCCATCGCTGATCCATTGGAACATGCAGGCCAAGGGCAGGGACCTAGAAGTCAGCCATTCAGCCTCCTTGTCAGTCCCCAGTCTCGCCCCGCCATTGCTCATGGACTGGAAATGGGGAGGGGCCAAAGGTAGTTAATGTCATCTCGTGGTGACCGATCATTTGGTCATCCATCATGGACACTATATATATATATATATATATATATATATATATATTCCTTTTTGATGTCTTATTTGCCAAGCTGAAATAGTTCTTTCACTTATTTTATTTCATGTATTTCCTTTGATCAGGGAATTCTGATCGCCCTGTTACCTTAGAAGACCTGAAGAAACTTAAATATCTGGAGTGTGTTATTAAGGAGACCCTCCGTATTTTTCCTTCTGTGCCTTTCATAGCCCGTGAACTTAATGACGATTGTGATGTTGGTGAGAATTCTTTCATGAAAGTAGTGGGGAGGGTGGACTTTTCTGTATGTGTGTCTTGCTCTGTTCTCATGACACATCAACTGCCTCATGACAGGAGGGTACAACCTCACAAAAGGCTCTCAAATAGTCATCGTTCTCTACTCACTGCATAGAGACCCAAGATACTTCCCAGACCCTGAGGAGTTCAAGCCAGAGCGGTTCTTTCCCGAGAATTCGACGGGACGCCATCCGTATGCATATGTGCCCTTCTCTGCTGGACCCAGAAACTGTATAGGTTTGTATCCATCCGAATCGTTTGACCTTTCAGGCTCACATGGCAGGGTGTTTCTCACAATACTGTCTTTGAGATGTAGTGTCTCAGATCCAAGTCTGTTAAAACACTGGTTGCTTTATTTTTTTCTCCAGATTACTATGACTGTCGTAAAGTATATCAGTTTTCTAGGGCTGCTGTAACAAAGCACCACAGACTGGGTAGATAAAATGACAGCATTTCATTTTTTCACAATTCTGGAGTCCAGAAGTCCAACATCAAGGTGTCTCCAGGGCTGGTTTCTTCTGAGCCCTCTCTCCTCATTATAGATAGATGTCTTCTCCCTGTGTCTTCACATAGTTTATTCGTATGTGTGTGTGTGTGTGTGTGTGTGTGTGTGTGTGCGTGCGTGCGTGTGTGTGTGTGTGTGTGTGTGTGTGTGTTTCTAATTAACCCTTGTCAAGGATATGTTTTTTTATTGATTTTTAGTGAGAGTGGGAAACATTGATGTGAGAGAAACATTGATTTGTTGCCTCCCATACATGCCCCAACCAGGAATCTAACCCACAACCTAGGTGTATGTCCTGATGGAATTAAACTCACAACTTTCTGGTGAATAGGATGACAAACCAACCAGCTGAGCCACCCAGCCAGGGCTTGATCTCTCTTTTTTTTTTATTTTTATAAAGACACCAGTCAGGTTGGATTAGGACCCATCCACAGGACCTCACTTTATTTTACTCACCTCTTTAAGGACCCTATCCCCAAAAGCAGTCACATTCTGCGGTACTGAGGGTTAAGAATTCAGCAGATGAATTTGGGAGAATACCATTCAGCCCATAACATAAAACATAACCAGCTTCATGGTAGAGTTTTAAAATGTAGATCTTTGGATTGAAGCAGAATATAATCTATATGGTAGAAAGCATTGTTTATTTAACCTGTTTTTATTGCTTTTAAGAATTGCTTTTTTCAAATCCAAAACAGAAAATGCTCAACATAGAACCAGCAGAAGTACTTAAACAAAAAGAAAGCACACCGCCATGCATTAGAAACACTTTTGGCTTTAGTATCTCCGATATTTTATTGTTTATGTAAATGCAGGCATTGGTGCATTGAGGCCTGGTAACTGTATAGTAAACTACATGAAAGGTCCAGGAGGAGAGCATTCTAGGGCAGTGGTTCTCGTGCTTCAGTGAGCCAGGATTCATCTGGGTGCTGTGTGGGCTAGATCCCTTGTCCCCAGAGCTATTCAGATGCCTGGATGGGAGCAGGGAAGGGCACTCAAGAATCTTTATTATTAGGAAGCATCCTGAGTGGTACTGGTTCCTCCAGGGCCTACTGTGAAAATCTAGCATCACTTGCTTCCTCTGATAGGACCTGTTCTTTCTCCCATTTGAGATAGATTGTAATAAATTCATGTTATTTTCATTGATTTGAAGGTCAAAGGTTTGCCATGATGGAAGAAAAGGTCCTTGTTTCATGCATCCTGAGGCATTTTTGGGTCGAATCCACCCAGAAAAGAGAAGAACTTGGTCTGACAGGAGATCTGATTCTTCGTCCTTCTAATGGCATCTGGATCAAGTTGAAGAGGAGAAATGCAGATGCATCCTAACTGTACTATTGGGCTGTGCCTTAGTCCGAATGAGGTCTTTCTTTAAGAGAAACTTTGCATTTACAATGTGCAGATCAGAAATTTAATAGTTTGAATCCCTACACCCAATTTTTACTTATCATCCCTTTCTTTGGGGTCAAGTCTACCATAGAGAGAGTTTTTATATTTTCATCAGCACCTTCAGAACAAACATGTCAAGTTGATAACTGACACAAATTCTTTGAATTTTAATTCCATTGACATTATCTCTACTTCCTCACCCAGTGACTTTAAAAAACTTTTAATAAATAATTTTAATGAGATTGTTTCTGTTTCTAAATTGATTTTAGAGTGGGAGTGTTTTGATCACAAAAGGCAAGTTTACTGATGTCCATACCCAAATAGACATACATTTCCCAACAGAGGGACCCATAGGCCAATTCAATTTCAATCGACAGACCCAAAGGATATAAGTTAATTGAAGTTCCAGAATATTTTAAGGTATTCTTTTTGAACACAAATATATATGTATACATATACATTTAATTTGAAGGGGTAATTAAATACTCAGGCTTGAGCTTAGGTCTTAATAATTATATCAGTGGTATCAGTTAGGATAATAATTATGATGATGAACCTTTTTAGATTTTATCAAGGAGAGCCGAAGCTGGTTTGGCTCAGAGGTAGAGCATCGGTCTGCAGTCTGAAGGGTCCCAGGTTCGATTCCGATCAAGGGCATGTACATTGATTGAGGGCACATCCCCGGTAGGGGGTGTGCAAGAGGCAGTTGGTCAATGTTTCTCTCTCATCGACGTTTCTGGCTCTCTATCTCTCTCCCTTCCTCTCTGTAAGAAATCAACAAAATATATTAAAAAAAAAAAAAAAAGAGGTAACATGCAAATTGACCATCGCACCCTTGCACAAGATGGCTACCCCCCATGTGCTCACAAAATGGCCACCCCCATGTGGTCACAAGGTGGCCTCCACAGATGGCCAACAGGGGAGGGCTATTGTGGGTGATCAGGCCTGCAGGGGAGGGCAGTTAGGGGTGATCAGGCCTGCAGGGGAGGGCAATTGGAGGGACCAGGTCTGGAGGGGAAGGCAGTTGGGGGTGACCAGCCCTGCAGGGGAGGGCAGTTGGGGACGATTGGGCTGGCAGGGGAATGGGTCCGGGTGATCAGGCTGGCTGGCAGAATCAGTTAGAGGCAATCAGGCTAGCAGGCTGGTGAGCAGTTGGGAGCCAGCAGTCCCAGATTTTGAGAGGTATCTCTGACTGCCTGTTGGGATTGGGCCTAAACTGGCAGCCAGTCATCCCCTATGGGGGCCCAGATTGGAGAGGGTGCAGGCTGGGCTGAGGGACACCCCTCCACCTCTCCACCATCCCCCCCCAGTGCATGGATTTTGTGCACAGGACCTCTAGTAAGTAATAAAAAAATTGCACCTTTGAGTTAATGTTCTCAGACTCCCTAAGGGTGCAGTTATCATAGACTGATTTGAGTTTCCCTTGCCAGAGGCTAAAACCAACAGTAGATAGCATGTGAATGCAAAAAGACCCAGTGGAAGGCCAATGGACTTGAATATTCAGCCTGGCTGAAAATCAGCAAGATATTGCCCTGCTGGCTCAATGGCTCAAGGCAATTCCCTAACCTAATGATCCTTTTACTACTTACCAATTACATATGAAATGCCTGGTATGAATTGCTAACAGGCAAATGTGTATTCAAATTAAAAAAAAAAAAAAAAAAAAAAAAGCAAGCAGACCTGCCAGAAGTAAGTGTGCCTCTCCAAGAGAGAGGTTTTCACCTGGCCCCTTATGCCTTCTAAATTTTTATTTCTTGTCTAGTATTTTCATTTGTGCTTCTGTCTTTCCTTCAGATCCTGAACCCCTCCACAAAGGTTGCGGCATTCCCTTACTCTGAAAAATAAGTGGAAAGACCAACATGTTTTGCTTAATAGAACGGAGAAAATGAAATCTCTTAGGACTACCTGGGAATCAGCAAAACCCCCAAGCATCCACCTGGTACCCAGGGATTTATCATCTAAAAATCTCTCCAGGTGAGGGACTACTGAATTGATGGTCTGTTCATTGTCACAGATATATCATGATGTGTGTGTGTGTGTGTGTGTGTGTGTGTGTGTGTGTGTGTGTGTGTGTGGTGTGTTGCAAGCCATTAGCAACCCCATAAATGAGTGATGTTCACAATATCATGTTCTCAACTGCGCTGCTCAGCCCTGTAGACTCCTACAAAGGCTTCTTTTATGGACTCAATCCATCTCATATTTGATCTTCCTCTTTCCTGCTGCCTTCGATTTTCCTAACATTATTATCGCTTCAAAATAACTGCCTGCTCATGATGTGCCTGAAGTAAGACAGCTTCGTTTTTGTCTTTTTTTTTTTTTTTTCCTCTAGAGATGTTTCAGGCTTAACCTGCTCTTAGATCCACTTGCTTGTATCCCTGGTGGTCCAGGATATCTGTAAAGTCTTTCTCCAATCCCAAACTTCAAAGAGGACAATCACGTCTAAACCCTATGGCAATTTTTCTTTTGAAGAAAAGAAAGTATTAACATCAGATTTCTATACAGAAATGTGATTTTTAGCACAGCCTTTATTCTCATGAAGTATAAGTCAATTAAGATCAGGAAAAATAGGACTCAGTAAATGTAGAATAAATAAAAAGAAATAAAAAAAATTGCTCGTGCCTTGATTGATACCCTCAATCTAAAAGGCATCAACAGGTTGCATATTTGAAATATGCTATTGCATTACAACCAGAAATTATTTTATTGGACTTGCTAAACTCCATTTTTAATAGAGTTCTGCAGTGCAGCAATATGCATTAAATATTTACTTAAGCATCAACTTCCTGAAAATCTAATTTTCTAACCAAACTGATGTAATGCAATTTTGAAGAATAGTTAGAGAAGAAAGGAAATTTAGTGGAAAAGTGGATATGCCTTTAAATATTTAAAAAAATTACAAAAAGGAGAATAAATTATTTTGTGTGGATGGAGTAGATAAATGTAGGATGGAAGTATAGAAGTTGCAAGGAGGTGTATTTCAGTGTATATGGAGACTTTTTCTTAAAAATTAAGATAAGATAAAATGGGCTCCTCAGAAACCGGTATGTTTTTTGCACTCAAGTTATCCTGACAGAGAAGTCCAAACTCTATGCCTTGAGTGCTAAACCTACTTTTTAAAAAATAATTCTCATCCAATGATATTTATTATGAGGGAGGGGGAAAAAGAAAGAGAAACATAGAAGTAAGAGAGAAACATAGATCATTTGCCACCTGTATGTGCCCTGACCAGAGATCAAAATCACAACCCCAGTATGCTCCTGACTGGGATTTGAACCCACAACCTTTTGGTATACAGGAGGATGTTCCAGCCAATTGAGCCACCTAAGAAGGGCCAGATCTTTTCAGCTTTGTGAGCCTTACTGTCTCTGTTACAACTGCTTCACTGTAGTTGTAGGGTGAAAGCAAGCTTCCATCATCTATGACTGAATGGGCATGGCTTTGTGCCAATAAGACTTCATTCACAAAAGAAGCGCTGGGACAGATTTGGTCTGGGAATTATATCTTGTCAACCGTGTTACATCTTATTTTCTGAATTAGGTGGGAGCAGGACCTAGACATCAACCAACTCTGTTCTGCACTTAAATTTCAGAGTTAGTAGATTCTTGGCTCATGGGATAGGTATCATTTGCCAGAAGATCCTTTCAGGTTCAGCTATCCACACCCACCTGTCATTCAGTTGTGCAGCTAGGCAATTACAATGGGAAAAGTCCTATTAGATGATGTTTAAGCTTCATTCTGACCCCAAAGAATGGGAAATGTAATGAACATTTTTCAAAAAGGAAACCTGGGTATGAATTGTATGCCCCCAACAAACAGTTAATATATTCAATAGCTGGACACAGGAACGGCATGGACCGTGTTGACAGGACAAAACGCTGAAACTGTTGGCAGAAAGCTAAAGTCAATAGCAAAGGCAAGCGAACAAAGCCTGCAGAGCCCAGCAGGGAGGCTGCAGACGGGTGGCCTTTTGTCCTCAGCGGGAGACCCTCAGCCCAGGAGCTCGGAAGCAACTGTGCCTTCAGGTAGAGAATTCTGTTATTCCCATTGCTTCCAAATAAAGCAGGTTTTAAAAAAAATTAAGTCTAGTTTTTACGTTATGTAGAAGTCACTAGTTTGTTTTAATTGCCTGCCTATTTAGGAGGTGTTGGAGAAAGTGGTGTTCTTATATGTGGAAATATTAGCTATTTTAAACTCAAAAGAACATTAGCTGATTTAAAGATTAATGAATGTGCTTGAATATTTTGAGAGCTTCCCTTGAGGAATCTGGAAGGATATACTATTGCCATTATTTATAATGATTTTCCTTCGGCTCAAATCAAGAGGATTCACAACTGTTTGGTTCCCTTCTACCAATTCCCTTTCCATAATGACGAACAACACAGGTGACCAATGAGCAGTGAACACGATTATTCCTCTGCATGTCTCACTTTGCATCTTGTGTCGAGTCCCGGGGCACAGAATGTGTAGAAAACCCGTGTTCTCTATGCTGGTAATTGTGTGCTTCCATTCACCCACCACACATTGACAAGAAACTCTAAGTCACCTTAGATTAAGGCTCATGTTAAATAGACCTCACCCAGCAGAGTCACAGATGTGTCACTTTCTCTTTTAGGATGGTTCCCTTCAGCCAAGCAGCTTATTTCATTTGCCTGTTTGCTACAGTCTCCTGTGGTGAGTGGATTGCCTACAAGACCTCCAGTTAAGGGTGTGGGAGGGAAGTTAGGAAGGAATGGGCACCACTGGAAAAAGCTACTGAACATAAGCTTATGGGATAGAGGGGGAGCCAGGCCACAATAAGTCAGGATTTGGAAGGTTTCATGCTATCCATTGTGAAAGTGACTTCCAGAAGGGCTGTTCCTACAACTGGCTTTCTCTCCATGGGAGGGATCATTTCCCCATGTAGGCTGACTGGGATGTTCCTCAGCTGTTCCTGTCCCGGC